TGATAATCTACCTTAACCAAAATCAAAGTAGACTATCACTCACCCACACCAGATGGAAAACTTTACAGACTGTCGGTTCACACCCCATCACAAGCCAGCAAAACATCCATGAAACAAAGAAAGGTCTGTCACAGCCAAAAAATACACTCCAGACACGCCGCTGTATATATATATATATACATATATATATATACATATTTATATATATGTGTATATATATATATATATACATATATATATATATATATGTGACGATATATATATATATATATATATATATATATATATATACAGGGTTACCTGACCGAACGTGTGGGGGCCCTAGGCTGCACCCCGAACGTTCGGGCGTTCGGGCATTCGGGGTCACGTTCGGGGGCCGAACACCTCCAGGTTCGGCCCTCGCCAAAAAACAATTTGGGGCCTAACAATAAGTGTTTTTTTCTGAGTTTTGGCACGTAAGTTCTCTATAATGTAACCTACACACCTATTAATTTAGAAGCCATTCTGCTGAGCCAAAAAAACATTAAAAATCGTCAAAGATGGGGGTGTCAAAACGTGCTCGCCCACTTACTATTTTATTTTTTTTCACTTTTCACTTTTAACTTTTTGTTTTCCCTTTATTTTGGGGCCTAAAAAATTTTGTTATTTTTTAAAAATAATTTAACAAGTTATTGATTATGTAAACTACATATGTGTAAATTTTCAGGGCATTTGTCAGTGCCAAAACATAATTCAAAATCGGCAACGATGGCGGTGTCGAAAAGGTGCTAGCAAACTCACTCGTTTTAATTCTCTTTTTATTTTTTCTTATTTTTATCATAGTGTTTATTTTTTGTATTTTATTTTTAATTCAAATTTGGTAAAAAATTTGGATGTAGTGCCCGGACAAATGTTGTTTAGTTTATTTTTCTCCATAATATATATATCGTCAAATATATATATATATATATCGTCACAAATAGAACTGCCCGGTAAACCGTAGGCAGAGAGAGAGAAGAGGACAACAAACGAGCGGCTGTGACAATATATATATATATACACGGTTACGTGACCGAACGTTCGGGGGCCCCTGGGCTCGCCCCCGAACGTTCGGGCGTTCGGGGTCCCGTTCGAAGGCCGAACACCTCATGGTTCGGCCCCCACCAAAATATGTTTTGGGGCCTAAACAGAAGTTTTGTTTTCTGAATTTTGTTTTGTGAGTTCTGTATGATGTAACCTGCAGGCCTATAAATTTTGAAGCCATTCTGCAAAGCCAAAAAAACATTAAAAATCGTCAAAGATGGGGGTTTCAAAACGTGCTCGCCCACTCACTATTTTGTTTTTTTTTCACTTTTACCTTTTTGTTTTCACTTTATTTCGGGGCCTAAACAATTTTATTATTTTTTGAACACTTTTGAATGAGTTACTGATTATGTAAACTACATATTTGTAAGCTTTCAGGGCATTTGTCAATGCCAAAAGATAATTAAAAATCGGCAAAGATGGCGGTGTCGAAAAGGTGCTGGCACACTCACTCATTTTAGTTCTCTTTTTATTTTTTCTTATTTTTATCATAGTGTTTATTTTCTGTATTTTATTTGTAATCCAAATTTGGTAACGAATTTGGATGTAGTTCCCCGCCAAACATTGTTTAGTTTATTTTTCTCCATAACATATGTTTGTTTCGGAAGTTCTTGAAATTATTATTATTATTTATTTATTTATTTTTGGTCCACATTCGGCCTGAACGGCCGAACTCCTTCCTTAGGGGTCGCGTACGTTCGGGCGTTCGGGTTCGGGCGCTCGGCCCGTCCCGAACGCCGGTAATATATATACAGGGTTCCTGGCGTTCGGGACGGGCCGAGCGCCGAACCCAAACGCCTGAACGTATGGGACCCCTTCGGAAGGCGTTCGGCGGCATTCGGGACGGGCCGAACGCCCGAACCTGAATGCCCGATCGTACGGGACCCCTTCGGAACAGCCGAACGCGGGGTTACCGGCGTTCGGGACGGGCCGAACGCCCGAACCCGAATGCCCGAACGTACGGGACCCCTTCAGAAGGCGTTCGGTCATTCGCGCCGAACGCGGACCAAAAAAAAAAAAAAAAAAAAAAAAGTTTTCAAAATATTCCAAAAACAAAAAAACAATGTTATGGAGAAAAATAAACTAAACAACATTTGCATGGGCTTTACATCCAAATTCTTTACCAAATTTGAATTAAAAATCAAATACAGAAAATAAACACTATGATAAAAATAAGAAAAAATAAAAACAGAATTAAAACGAGTGAGTGTGCCAGCACCTTTTCGATGCCGCAATCTTTGTCGATTTTTAATTATTGTTTGGCATTGAAAAATGCCCTGAAAATTTCCAGATATGTAGTTTACATAATCAATAACTGATTAAAAAGATTTCAAAAAATAATAAATTTTTTTAGGCCCCGAGATACAGTGAAAACAAAAAATTAAAAGTGAAAAACAACAAAATAGTGAGTGGGCGAGCACGTTTTGACACCCTCATCTTTGACGATTTCTAATGTTTTTTTGGCTTGGTAGAATTGCTTAAAAATTTATAGGCGTGTAGGCTACATCATAGAGAACTCGTAGAAAAACATTCAGAAAGAAAAACGTATCCTTAGGCCCCAAAAATATTTTTGGCGGGTGCCAAACCTGGAGGTGTTCAGCCCCCGAACGGGACCCCGAACGCCCGAACGTACGAACGTTTAGGTTAGGGAACCCTGTATATCTATCTATCTATATATATTTTTGTCTGTGACAGACCTTTCTTTGTTACGTGGATGTTTTGCTGGCTTGTGATGGGGTGTGAACCGACAGTCTGTAGAGTTTTCCATCTGGTGTGGGTGAGTGATAGTCTACTTTGATTTTGGTTAAGGTTGATTATCACCTACAGTGTAATTAGTGAGGGGATTCTGCAGACTGTTGAGGGTTCAGCCTCCTGATGAGTCGGTGAAACTCCGACGAAACAGTTTGTCATTGCCCCTCGTTTGTTGTCCTCTTCTCTCTCTCTACCTACGGTTTACCGGGCAGTTTTGTTTGTGACCATATATGCTACGACTTCGCTAGCTTCCTGCTACGGTTTTTTTCGGTCAGGTCGACCGGCAGTGGTCGGGGCCGTTACTAGGCGGCCATGCTGTGCCTCTAGTGCCAGCGGTGTGTCTGGAGTGTATTTTTTGGCTGTGACAGACCTTTCTTTGTTTCGTGGATGTTTTGCTAGTGTAGCGGACCTCTGGTTGGTTGGCCTGTGGGACCAGCCCCTTGGCCTGTTCTCACAGGCCTGTGTTTTATCCGGGGGCAGTCCAGTCCAGGCCGGTACCTGTCAGTACCAGCCAGTCCAGTCCAGTCCCGTCAGTCCGCTGGGGTATACCCCATACCCCAGCAGCCTCATTCTTCACTTGAACATTTTGGAGTACGTGCGTTGGAGTCTTG